AAATTTTGTTTCACCAAGACAAGATTATTTTGTTGAGTAAAATTGACTTTTGGCAGAAAAAATTTGTTTTTCTTAGTTAGTCATAAGATTTATTGAGTGATAAGTTATACAAGATTATTGCAAATGAGAAGCCTAATATTCTTCTTAAAATGCTTGAAAGAGGTAATTTTCCAACAGTATGAAAAAAGCAACACCTGACATTGGTGTTATAAGCAAGGGAAAGGAAAATCCGGAGTTACTAGATGCATACCGGCCACTTTGCATGTTGAACACTGGAGGGAAGTTGTTGAAACGCTTAATAAAGTGTAGACTCGGAACTGCCATAGAGAAAGTTGGTGGGCTGTCGTCACGTCATCACGGGTTCAGAGCAAACCGATCTATATTAGACGCCATTCAAGACGTTATTAATACCGTAAAATCGATGCAGACTACCAACCATCACTCCAGACGTATAGTTCTGTTAGCGATTCTCGCTGTCCGAAATGCTTTCAATAGTGTCAACTGGCAACTGGTGATATAATTGATGTATTCAAACGTTAGTTTCGTGTACCAGCATACCTAATGAAAATGTTTCAAAGCTACTTAAAGGACAGAGAACTTATCTACGAGACACATGATGGTAAAAAGAAAATTCAAATAACATCAGGAGCCATACTTGGACCATACTTGGACCTGATCTTTGGAATCTAAATTACAACGGATTTCTAAAAATGGAAATGCCAGATGACTCACATTTAGTAGCTTTTGCTGACAATTCAGTCAAGTGAAGGTGAGAATAAATATCTGGCATACCGTACGGTATTTGAGTCAAAGAAAGGAAAATACGGTGGCAAAATAAGCAGCACCAAAACACAATATTAAATGATCTAGGAGTAAAACTACAAATTCAACAACTGTGGCAACAAAGATGGAATGCAGAAACGAAAGGAAGATGGACAGCAAGATTGAACCCAGATGTGGTGAAATAGTCAGACAGGAATACTGGCGAAGTAACCTATTACTTAACTCAATTTCTTTCTGATCATGGATATTTTCAAAAATACCTTTTCCGCATTGTCAAAACAAATGATTCAAAATGCATATACGGAGATGCAGACGAAAACAACGCTAAGTACACCATCTTCAAATGCAACAGATGGAACACCGCAAGAACTTCACTTGAGACATAAGTCGGTGAAATAAACGAAAGCGATGCTGTCTGAAGAAAACTGGACAGCCATAGACCGATTTGTTACGATCATACTCAAACGGAAAAAATATGATCTAGAAAATGACAAATTTTTAAAAATAGAGAAACAAATAAACCTAAGCGAGACGAACGAAGAACAACATAGTCACTATTGTGACGACATAGTGACGATGCGTAAGGCATTTTTAAACCTCCTCTCCGCCAAAAAAAACAAACAAAAAAAAAAAACATTCGACCGGTCATTAAATATTTTTAAAAGCACCACATCCTATAAATTTAATATTCCATTACTTTTCTCTATTTTTTCTAGTTACGTAAACTACTGGTTCGTAATATAATTTGAAATCATGTTTATTCGATAATAAAGTAGAACCATGTAAAGTAGACCATATATTGAATAAAATTTAATTTTATTTACAATTTTATTTTATTTATTTTATTTTAAATTTTATTAATTAAAAATAGACTTCAAAAAGTTTACTCAGCTCATATACAAACAATATACACACAACAAAATTATGGTAAAATATAAAACTTATGATCTCATGCGAATTTTCAATTCGGGTTCCTGTACATATTTTAATGCTATTTGAGTCGTAAATCTGAGGTTCTCGAATTTAAAGTCTGTTTCAAATTTAAAGTTCCGAATAAGTCCACTTAATATGATTTTCATTGAGAACATTGCATATCGCGATCCTGTAACCAACACATAATAAACTAATCTACATGTACATTTAAATTAGTTATGTAGAGGCTTACCTATGCAATTCCTTTTACCTCTTGAGAATGGAATAAATGCACATTTTTGAGCTTCTCCGAAGTTTTCAGCTGAAAAATGTTCCGGATCAAACTTATTTGCATTTGGACCCCAAATATCGGTTCGTCGATGAAGATGTAGTATTGAGATTATAATTTGGGTGTTTTTGGGAAATACATCTTTACCAACTTGTGTATCTTTTGTAACATGACGTCCGATTATTGGAACAGGTGGAGTGAGGCGAAGTGTTTCATTTATTACACAATCCAAATATTGTAACTGATCTAACTGATCAAGCTCAGCATTAAAATTTTTCTCAGGAAACACGTCTAAAACTTCTTCAAAAAGTCGCTGTTGGATTTCCGGGTGCATGGCCAACATAACAAGAGCAGAATAAATGGTACTAGCTGTAGTCTCAAATGCCTACAATCAATGAAGAATTGTAAATATATTAAGTATAAATAATTTACGTGTACTCACTGCTCCAACAATTGTATTTGATTCACTTATTATATCATTCCATGTGAATAGTTGTTGTTTGTATAGTTTTATTGCTTGATCAATAAATATTTTAGGCTCCTTTTTTATAGAAAGGTCTGCAAAATCATCTTCCTTATTAGTGAATTCATTTTCTTCCCTTCTAAGCAAGAAATCCTTGTTACTGGACATGTCATCTTTAGTATTTGTTATACTCTTTTCTGCAGTAGCAGTTTTAGAAAGTTTTTTGTGAATCAACTGTAACATTTTAAGCAATTTTTATGTTTTCTGTGAAGAAATTATAATAAATACTAACATCTTCGACGAACTGGTATGAAAATTTTTTAGCGTTTTTAAATTTCGAAAACAACTCCATTATGAAACCGAGTTTCATAAGCGAAAGTATTATATTAAGCGTTGTATATTCCATTATGCTATACGTGTGAGACAAATTTTCTTCTATATAAGCACACTTTATAATTACTTAAATAACTTACACACAATAATGTTTGGCCACATCATTCGAAATCCGGTTACCTTTGTGCATGTACTTGCCCATAGTTGTTTCTGAAGTCAAATCGTTTATTTAATCATCGTTTTCTAATGTCAATAGTTCAACAGTTTTATACCTGCAGTTGATGTTAAAGTCACTGTTTGTATAGCATTCAGTAAACTATGTTCCTTATTGTCTACCAGTTCGCTACACTTTTCAATTATATTATTCTTAGCTTTATTAAATATTGGAAAGAAACTCATAAGCACTTTATTTGCAAAGGCAGGATTTATTAGCTTGCGATTCTTCGACCATTCATCAACTATAGAAAAAAATATCTTTTAACTTTTAGATTTCAAAATACTTTATTATAGTAGTACCTCTACTTGCAACAAGACCGCCCTTAAAGGTGCTGCGAATAGGATGATAAATACTTTCTGCTTTGGTAAGAAGCTCTGGAGAGCGCAAAACATTTGTAATAATCCCCGCATCTGCAGTCAGTATGGTTGGAAACCATCCCATCCACAAATAAACAGTATAACTTTTACAATATTTAAAAATATAATTAAGCCCTAATGATGAATCTTCAAAAGGCAGATATATCCTTCATTAAATCAATTTAGTTTTCTATTAATATTTAAACTTACTATTCACATTCCTTATTTTGTAAAAAGAACCAATTATTGGGAAACCATATAATATCGGGAAACTTAAACCGTATTTATATATGTTTCTTCGCGTCCATATCCAATGAACCCACAATATAATAAAACCGGCCAGAAACACATATTTAACAACTTTATAGTTTTCCAGTGATTCCATATTTAGTGATAGCTAAACAGACATCTATTCCCTCGAGTGTAAATAGAATAATAATCCAAATCATACTATGTTACTTATATTATATTCGAGAAATACTGCTGTAATCGGTTTTATCGATTAAGAAAAAAGGGGTGAAATTTAATGTGACGGATGGTGTTATAGGTACTATATATTTATTTGTAATTGCTTATAATTAATTAATAAAAAAATTAAATCTAAGATAGTAATTTTATACATAAGTATTATATAAAATGCGAGTTGATTGTAAAGGAAAATAAAATAATTTGTTAAAATGCTGATTTAAATTACGCACATATAAATTTTATTGGAAACTACGCAAATATATAATGAGCACAAAAAAGTTTTAATATACCTTCTTTATATATTAATAATAACTCAGCATAATCATAATGGAAGTCGAAGCGAACAACTTTTTTAATAAAATTACATTTAGATTTGTTCAGTGTATCGTATTTTAACACAAAATCTTAAATTCGTAGGCGTAGGTATGTTAGTATTGTCAAGTTTCAATTTCTTGTTGAAGTTTATTCAAACTAAATCCAATATTTAATCAACATCGGTGAATAAATTTAAAAATGGGGCGCCCATATGCTTAAGTTTTTATCAGGATAAACCAGTGACACACCAGTAGGTCTCGAGATCTTATAAATACGGTATACAATAGTTTCGACAGAACAATCCCAACTAAGTTCCTTGTCATTTTATAATCTAGAGCATTATTATCGTATATACTTCCAATCTGAATGTGATGTGAAAAGTGACATAATATAATATAAAAATGTGAACCTTTCTGTGGTTTAGGCAAAGGAACTCTATCCATTCTTTGAACGGCGCAGAGTTAAAAGAAAGAAAACTGTAATGGGAAAGGTTACCAAAATTATCACATTCTAAAATGCTTTTAGGGACCTACAATCAAAAACGCTTCAAGGATTACATACAACAATCAAACAATAAGGTAAGAATTATTACGATGCATAGGTATTTGTGTCTCCATTTAACATAATAACGAGACATTGCCCAGCTTACTAATTATCCGCTTTAACATTTGAGATTTTAAAATCTGGTACATACTAAGATTTGAAACAGTTGAAATTTTTCTGCGTCTGTTTCGAAAATTAAGTAGAACGTAATTCTAAAATCGACATATGAAAAATGGATTTCGGTGGCCATGTATTAAATAAAATTTAATTTTATTTATAATTTTATTTTATTCAATTTAATTTAAATTTATTAATCACAAATAGACTTTATGGATTTTACTGAGCTCATATGCGTATAACTTATCACCTCATGCAAATTTTCAATCTGGGTTCCTCTAAATATTTTAATGCTACTTGACTCGTAAATCTGAGGTTCTCGAATTTAAAATCAGTTTCAAATTTAAAGTTCCGAATAAGTCCACTTAATATGATTTTCAATGAGAACATGGCATATCGTAATCCTGAAACCAACACATAATGAACTAATCTACATGTACATTTTACATAGTTTTGTCGAAGCTTACCTATGCAGTTTCTACTACCTCTAGAGAATGGAATAAAAGCACATTTTTGAGTTTCTCCGAAGTTTTCAGCTGAAAAATGTTCTGGATCAAACTTATTTGCATTTGGACCCCAAATATCTGTTCGTCGATGAAGATGTAGTATTGAGATTAGAATTTGTGTATTTTTGGGAAATACATTTTTGCCAACTTGTGTATCTTTTGTAACATGTCGTCCGATTAGAGGAACAGGTGGAGCAAAGCGAAACGTTTCATTTATTACACAATCCAAATATTGTAACTGATCTAACTGATCAAGCTCAGCATTAAAGTTTTTCTCAGGAAATACGTCTAAAACTTCCTCAAAAAGTCGCTGTTGGATTTCCGGGTGCATGGCCAACATAACAAGAGCAGAATAAATGGCATTAGCTGTAGTCTCAAATGCCTACAATCAATGAAGAATTGTAAATATATTAAGTATAAATAATTTACGTGTACTCACTGCTCCAACAATTGTATTTGATTCACTTATTATATCATTCCATGTGAATAGTTGTTGTTTGTATAGTTTTATTGCTTGATCAATAAATATTTTTGGCTCCTTTTTTATAGAAAGGTCTGCAAAATCATCTTCCTTATTAGTGAATTCATTTTCTTCGTTTGTAAGCAAGAAATCCTCATTACTGGACATGTCATCTTTTGTATTTGTAATACTTTTTTCTGCATTAGCAGTTTTAGAAAGTTTTTTGTGAATCAACTGTAACATTTTAAGCAATTTTTATCTTTTCAGTGAAGGAATTATAATAAATACTTACATCTTCGACAAACTGGTATGTATATTTTTTAGCGATTCTAAATTTCGAAAACAACTCCATTATGAAACCGAGTTTCATAAGCGAAAGTATTATATTAAACGTTGCATATTCCATTATGCTATACGTGTGAGACAAATTTTCTTCTATATAAGCACACTATATAATTACTTAAATGACTTACACACAATAATGTTTGGCCACATCATTCGAAATCCGGTTACCTTTGTGCATGTACTTGCCCATAGTTGTTTCTGAAGTCAAATGGTTTATTTAATCATCGTTTTTTCTTAATTTCAATAGATCAACAGTTCTATACCTGCAGTTAATGTTAAAGTCATTGTTTGTATAGCATTCATTAAATTATGTTCCTTATTGTCTACGAGTTCGCCACACTTTTCAATTATATTATTCTTAGCTTTATTAAATATTGGAAAGAAACTCATAAGCACTTTATTTGCAAAGGCAGGATTTATCAGTTTGCGATTCTTCGACCATTCATCAGCTTTAGACATAAGCATTTTTTAACGTTTACACATTTAATTACTTTATTATAGTAGTACCTCTACTTGCAATAAGACCACCCTTAAAGGTACTACGAATAGGATGATAAATACTTTCAGCTTTGTTAAGAATTTCTGGAGACCGCAAGATATTTGTAATAATCTCCGCATCTGCAGTCAGTATGATTGGAAACCATCCCACCCACAAATAAACAGTGTAATTTTTACAATCCCTTAAAATATTACTAATTCCTCTAGCTATGTCTTAAGAAATATAATTTATATTTATATAACATTTATTTAACCAATTTATTTTTCTAATCATATTTAAACTCACTGTTCACACTCCTTATTTTGTAAAAAGAACCAATTATTGGAAAACCATATAATACCGGGAAACTTAAACCGTATTTATATATGTTTCTTCGCGTCCACATCCAATGAACCCACAAAATAAAAAAACTGGCCACAAGAACGGATTTAAGAACTTTATAATTTTCTAGTGATTCCATATTTAGTGACAGCTAAATAGACATCTATTCCGTCGACCGAAAATAGAATAATGATCCAAATCATACTACGTTACTTATATTATCTTTGAAAAGATATTCATTTAAGTAACCGTTGAACTGTGCTTTTATATTTAAATGCATATTATGTAATCACATTTAATGTGAGGTGAGGTGAGGTGACATATAATTGTCAATGCACATCATAAAAAAATATTTTATATTGTATTGTATGTTGTATTCAGAATGTATACTTTAATTCTTCAAATTTCCTAAAGCTTTAAAAATTTAAAAAACCATATATTAAAAAAATATAATAAGTTAAAATTCTGAGATAAATTGCATAAGCGTGGTTTTTCTTCCAAAACCACGGATTAAGGTACTAAATAAATTCTTAATATGTTATATTAATAACTTACATTAATAAAGTATGATAACGTACTTATGGAAGTAATTTAAATTAATTCAATTCAAATATAATCGAAATAGCGAATCTAATTTCATAAAAAATTAGGAAATTTGTAAGTCCTCTAGTTCTCTAGTTCTAGTTTTTTTAATATTAACTTATTTATGGAAGTAAGAAAAAAATGTATTGTAAGGCCTAGATATATTAAATATCGACTAAGTAAACTTGAATATCGCTAATGACAGTCTACGCTCATTTCGTTTGACTAACATTTCGTTGAAATTTTTAGAGTACTTAAACATTTTTGTAGTAGTATTAGTAGATATTTTATATATATACATACATATATACATATATCGAATCAAATCACACTTTATTTTTCAAGTCCTATAAAACAGCTGTTAATTTCAGGGTAATCTTGCTACTCTGGCAAAATATGTCTTATAAATTAATCTCAAGTGTTATACATTTTGCCAGAGAATTATCAATCAAAAATTGAATTGCATTCAAAGAACATCTCGATTAAAAAAATTATCCCAGAAAACGCCAATAGTAACCAGAATCATGCTCATAGTTCCACTCAGTACAGAAAAGTTGCTAAGATCGCACTATTATAATTTGCAAATTGCAAATATTGCAAATGCGATGCCGAAAATAGTGCTGGCATATATTATATAGTGCTATTTTAGCAACTTTTTTGTACTTGATAATATATAAGCGCGACTTTAACTACTATTGAATGTATATATTTTAATATTAGCTATTTAAGTATAAAATTTATTACCGTATATTCCTTTAATTCGGTATGCGGAGGAGTTAATTACAAGTTTTAAAAAAATTATTTAGATAAACAACTTTTTCATTTTGAAAAATTTTTATATCTTATAACTTAGTTACTAGAAAATGTTTAAATAATATTCCTGCGTTTGTATGATTCTTTACAATTTCTAAACCTTTTTCATCACGCCATATATCTGTCTTTCACATGTTTTATTTTTATAGTAAAATAAAATACACAATAATCATATGAATGTTAATAAAACTGTATGTATTGAATGGATAATGTTTATGCTCTTTGGATTTAATTTTAGGTATAGTTGTGCCTCTGTGGGATCGAATGCAACCCACACCAAAATTCATATTTTCTAACAGTCGTGGCCTTGCATACCAATAACTAGTAAGCCCAAAACTTTATATATCTCCATACAAAGTAATCCAAAGAGGTGAGATCACATGTTAGTGAATACCAATTCACAGAACCATAATATGATATTATTATATGGCTATCGAAAACAATAACCGGATGATTGCGTTGGGCTCTGTATAGAAAGTATCTCAACTGTTGCACAGTCATGTTATTTAATTGGAATACTAAACCGTTATTAATTGTGAACCATTACTCCTCTCCATAGATTGTAACGTTCCGACTGACAGTTTCATTCCAAGCACATGAAATGGTGATACCATTATTGTAAAAACTGCAACAATATCTCTTTCTTTAGTTCGCTTTCTTAGCAAATCGTGCTGTACATAAAACACTGGATAATTTTAAAAATAGTTGTTGTTGTTGTAGCTTCTTGAGTTAGTGCTATTGCGCACTTTTACTTTTTTTAGCGGGGGACACTAGGTTTTAACTATGCAGGAATTCATATCATTCATTTATCTTTTAATTGATGACGGAGTGTAAGTCAGCATATCTTCCTGTGGGTTCTAAGGTGGACTTGAAGTTTGTTGGGGCGGGGTTGGCAGCATATCAACTTTTGTTAATAGAACCGATATAGTTTACCTCTTAACAAAATTTTAAATTATACGGTTTTCAAGATTTGATCAAGTTTATATAATTTTTGTATAATTTTTGAACTTTACCATTTACATGTAATATATGGTACATCATTCAAATGTTATTTACGGGACAACTGACAAGACAGTACTACTGTAAGGTAGTTTTCAATTAATTGTCGGCACACGACTGGCAATTAAATGGCTATAAATTGACGGATTTTAGTTTTCAAGGAGACCTTTTGGGATGTTTCCATTAGTATGAAAATTCCTTTCCGCACCAATATAAACAATATATAAACAAAACAAATGTCAATTTACAGTGAACTGGTGAACTGACAAATCTGTTTCTACCTATAAGAAATTACATGGCTTCGTAACTTAATCTCTAATTCTTTTTTTTTGTAATTTAATGTGCGTTTCGTTACATTTTTGATGTCTAGTCATTCGAAGATACTTTGCAGTATGTACATTATACTAATCAGTAATAAAATACTATGTTGATGAATTTTTTTTCACAAAGATTATTATCGTGTTAATTGTTCAGAAGTGTTATTTTCGCTTTCCACTTAGTTGTATCTTTTTAAATAGAATTTGTGCTATAATCTGTAAGCTCTTGTGAAAATAAAAAAAGATAAATAAAAAAGTTGACAAATGTTTTAATAAATTTTATTTGTTTTTTTTTTATTTTGTTCAACTATTTATAATTACTTATATATTTGTAGATACTCTTAACGTTTTAATAACACTATTTCGCACTGACTCAGATATTTCACTTCAAACCTAATAAAACTTATTAAATTGTAATTAGAAAATATTTTGTTTTGCTAATTAAAACCCCTAATTATAAGCTTTTTTTAGAGAGACATTAAAATTCATTTTAACGTGTCACTATAAAAATTCCAGAAAAAAGTTTATTTAGTTAAAAGTTTAATGAATAGTCACAGTCATTTAAAAAATAATTTTTATTATTTTGTTCTGTATTTGATAGTGAATTATTTTTGAATTTTAATGTTTATTTTTCTTAAATAATTGATCACAAACAATTGTACCCTTTTAAGGCAAAAAAATTAAAAAATATCTTACATTTCCTACATATGTATAATTGCATGATGATTATGATGATTCATCGAAACCTCGATCAAGATAAAAATCGCCCGCAAAATTTTTATTTATGGCGGGTACTTGTTGAATAACGAAATCAGTGCTATCAGTATTATCAACAGATAATTTTGATGAATATTCCATTCTCTTAAAATAATTCTGTACGGCAACTTTAGTATCAGCCATGATATCTAAAATACCTTTTGTACCAGCGTTGGCAGTAAACTGTTCGCAGAACTTATCAATGAATATTGCTCCAATTAATGAAACTCGATAAGATTCAGCACCTGAAGATATAATCAGAAATAATGTAATTTTATAAAGAATTTCTTTTAAATTTATCGAACATTTTTATTTATACCTTCTGATGTTGCAAAACATTTAAGAAAGTATTTTGTGAAATATTTTTGATCGATGTCCCCTTCCGTTTTTGCATCATCATATTCGCCGCTACCTCTGCAAGCTTGTACTATTATCCATTTTAATTTTCCATTTAATTCCTTGATTTTAAAAAGAGGATTGAGTAGCAGTTTTTGTATGGAAATTAATTTTGGTACGTCTTCATTGTCTTTTTCATCCTCTTCTTTGTCGTAAGCGACTGTTTCATCTTCGAAGCCATGCGATAGATGAACTATACAAACATACTCAAACTGATTATATTTTTCCTTCCAATTTAATTGTACTGCAAGGTAAAAATAGAATTAATAATTATTTATTATATTATAGTGTGTTTTCTATAATAAGTAATACTATTATTAAACTTAAATAATTTTTATTAATTAAGTTTAATTATTAATTTATTAATACAAAATAATCTATATCTTTAGTGGAATTTACTAGCGATGTTATTTGCTTGCATTTCACAACTCATGCAGTTGAAATCTTATTACAATCTTTACACATAGGTAATACCTATAGGTATACCTAATACCTATTAGGTATAGCATAAATAGGTCATGATTATCTATAATTCTTGCAGAACTTGCTGTCGATATTTTTATTATCCTGCATTTTACAGCCCATGCAGTAAAAAACCTATTGTAATCATATCACATGTAGCATGAAATGGAATGCGATTTCGATTCTGATTTCGTGGGGGCACAGATTTGATCACAAATTTTAGTATGAATTTCAATATAATGAACTATTTTTCCATTATAGTACACTTCTCGATATATTAACAGTTGAAATTTGATATTTTTAACTTGTTTTTGACTTTTTTTACTCTCCCCTTTATTGATATCCCCTCCTCATAAACTGACCTGTTGTGAAATGAGATGTTGAGATTCAGTATTTAGTACATTCAGATATATCAATATAAAATTACCCTACAAATTATTTTCATTTTATTAAATTTTTTGTTTTTTTATTGATGAATGAGGAACATTGATTAGTCTTTGCAGTTTGTAAATATAAATATTTAGATATTTTTAAGATAACATATTAAACAAAAACTTAAAACATTCATTATATAAAGTTTTAAATAATTAAATTCTAATAGAATAATTATTCTTAGAATAAGTATTTGTTAATAAATTAAATTAAATAGTTCATTTCCATTATTTCTAATATTATCAGTATTAATATCCAAAAAAAAAACCTTAAGAAAATCACAGGTTTTTTGCGAGAATTTGAGAGGAATTCTTTAAATTGTCTATATTAGCAGTTTACAAGATATCTTGTCCATTGGGAGAAAAAAATATCTGCACTAGTAGTAATAATAGTAGCAAGTGATATAGTGATATAGCATTAGCATATAACATCTTATGTTTTAAGTTATACACTTAATATACAGAAAATAGATTGAAAACATATATATACTCTCCGAAATAAAGAGAGCACATCATCAGTACTAATAGTAATCGTAGTAATAGTAAAAATAAGTCACATAAATGAACAACTTGTCACTATTTTAGACCCATATATGTTATCAGCTAAGCAGAAAGCTCTAAATGTTTATTGCGTGAATATGGTATTCAATACACAAAATTTATTTTGATAATTTTTTGAAAAAAATTAAGCTTATCTAAACAATTCAGCTAAGCATTCTTTTATCATGCAAATATTTTTAATAAATTTGGTTAGCATATTTATGGACCAAGATTTTTCTTAATCATAATCGGTCAAATTACTTTCTCATCAGAAGCAGAAATGAAATTAGAAATGGGAAGAACCATAATTCATAAGTAATATTAGAGGCAGGACTTTAATATCATTTTCTCATCATAACCATCATAACCAGCAATGAAATTACGGATGAAAAGAACGGTAATCCATAAGTGATATATATAGGGATGGGCGCTGATAAATTATTCTGTGAGAAAACATAACTTTATCGATCCATCGACAAACATATATATAAATTATAATTTAAAGGAAATAAATTACAGCATAATTATAAGTAACTTTTTTTCAAAAATATAATAATATTAGAACGCATTAGGGGTGCTAGCAACCTACTACGCCTACCTGCATACACCTATTTCTTTATTTATTTTTAAGCTTATTTGAATTATTTGGTACTAAGAAGCTTTATCAAATGATAGTTTTTATCACTTCATATTTAGCGAGTTAAGCTTTAAACGTATAGAGGGAGAACAAGCAGCGACATTTTGTGGGGACTTGTACCTTTGCGTAACTCTTTATATATTAATTATTTATGTTGTAATTCTATATAGAACCTTTATTGACTAAGTGTCAAGAATTCAGGAAAATTAGGAAGAAAATGATTACTGAGAGAAATAGATTCATTTTTAAATTAAACCGGGATATTATTTAAAGAAGTCTTCTATTTAAAGAAGACGTAACGTAAGATTAAATTCCACGTAAATAAATATTTATTTTGTTATCAGAAATAATTTATAAAATAAAAATTACCTGACCTATTCAGTATAACTATAAAAATTATTGGCTACTTACACTTTTTCATTTCTTGTCTTATTTGTTTTTCGCTCCAATCCGACCAATTTAGTACATCGATATTAAAAGGTTCGAAGGTTTTAATCAATTTATAGACATCCGGACTACTCCCTGCTCGATCTTTGCTTTGATTAACTATAATTGCTAAGCCAGGCAAAAACTTTTGTTCACTTTCAGCCATTTTTTATGAACTTAAAGATCAAGACTTTTAAGCACTTTTGTTGTATTTAAATATATCTATTGCACAACTCTTAGATATATTTTTTTTATTAATAAAAATTTTATTACTTTGTTTGTTAAAAATGCGTTTTCTATGTTAAACAATTAAAACAAAAACAAACAACGTGTTGCTATAGTCACGTATACCAGATACACCAACGGCTACGTTAGCTCACGCCAATCAATCGGAACAATACTAAATATTAAAAATTCTGTGAGTACTGCTTACTGCATGTATTGCTTTAAAATAATTATTATCAAACTGTAGAGGCACTGATAACCACACTATAAACTTCTCTGCCGGCGATGTGCGAAAAATAGCTATAAACAATTTCTGGAACTAATACGCTCCGCACTCATTTGTGCTCAAACAAATATTTTTTGTTTTTTTTTTTTTGCAATGTAATATGTGTACTCTTCTGCACTCATTCACGCTCTTTCTCTCACTCTGTTATTAAAATTATTCTCTGTCATCTTAACAAAAATGTGTGAAATTCAAAATAAGCACTAAACGATTGTATAGTAAAATATGGGTTCAACAAATCGAAACCAAATCTGTTTGGTGGAAGTATTGTGTAAATTCCACTTATGAAATTTATTTGATTTAATTTCCAGGAAAGACCTCTATCAATGAAAGCGAATATCTGTGAGTCAGATCATTAATTTCTGCAGAATATATTCGATTTCAGTCATGGAAAGATTATACCTTTAAATTTTTGCAGCTTTCTTCATGCCGCCTAGTGCGAAATATAATTCATTGTTCATTTTGATAAGATAATGAAATACTTAGTAAATGTATTAAATAGAATTTGAAAATAAAATGTCTTCAGCGTTAGCTTAATTTTCTTTGAAATATAGCAATACTTGGTAATTACTCTTTCACTAAGTAAAATAATGAATTGATATACCAATTAAATGTATGGCTCACGCTAATCAAATTGAACGCTTAAAGTAAACATCAACTCATTATCAATGCTTTCCGCTATAATTGAAGTAATTATTAGAAAGTCTTCAAATAAAAAATTATTAATTGTTAAAAATGTTTAATGTATGTTTAATGGTTTTAATTTATGAAAATTAATAAAATTTCTTGAATTTAAGCCATTGTATAATTATAAAAAGCTACACTGCTATGAATTGTGGTACAAATCATTTGTTCATTTCTTTTTGAAATGTTTATCACAATAGTAACATGCAATATGCGTATTACTTCATAAATTAACACCATGACATCTACAGCTATCCCATAATACTCCCCTAAACCGACCACTGCGTCTTTCACTGTCTCTTAACGTGTCTTACCTAAGCATATGCCCTACAATCTGACTGAAAAAGAAACCTGTTTACATATAAATAGCTTTATAAAACAATTATACCATCATAAAACATTTTTGGGTTCAGTCCCATGTCTTACCATTAGCTTCTTGATATTGTGAGAACAATGCCAGCGCATGTGAAAGACATGAATCTTCCATATAAGCTTACTATTCAAGTCCATCTCCAAATATTTCACTTAAAGAGATAATGCCAACGTTGCTTCTTGAAGAGGTCAAGTGTATTTTAATAGGACTTACTGAAAGACCTTGTTCGTTGCGTTAAAAATCGATTTTATATAGAAATTTTTGCATGCTTATACATAACATCCTTAATAAATATTCGCATATATACTTCATTTACAAGCATACAGCAATTACTATATGCCATATACCTTTATAACCTCTTCAGTGGCACTATCGTCATATTTTTCAACTGTAATAAACACTCACTTTAATAGCACCTTACAAATGCAATGGACAAGTACTTTATCAATAATGTGACGTATAGGCGAAGAACATATAGAGCATATAGAGAACATATAGAGAAGAACATATATAATTGTCACTGTCAGAGGTGTTCTTAAAAACCCAGCTTTCAATCAATTATTCACCATACGAACATTGTCACAAAGGGCTCAATTGCAGGGTTGCTAATACTAGATGCATATTAGTTTTATATTAAATGTTAGATGGTAATAAAAAGATAAATGGGAGTAAAGTCTTGATAAACAAGTTTTAGTTATGTGGAAACTCTATAGATGTACAATTAGATATCAAATATTAAACAATTTTTATTAGCTTCTTCAATATGAAGTTGAATCTTAAACAAACGTACTTCAAGAAAAACCTATAAACGAAAATCAAAACAAACTTTGGAAGTATAATACGTATAAAAATTCGACAGGCTCTTAAGTAATCTATACTATTTTTATAATATTTATTTTATTATTAATTTATTATTTAACTAGCCTAGATAAGATGTTACCCACATCTAATAATCCAAACATAAGTTTAACAGATTTAAATGTTTTTATTCTACATAATTAATAATTTATTGCTTAAGCTTAGGTAAATTTTTTTAAAAAATATTTTGTTATTTTTTTTTGTTTTTATACGGACTTATTGGTTAATAGTTAATAGTTAAATAATGATTTTACTTTTACCAATATTTCGGCTATAATCTATAATCATCATCAGGGTACTATACAATTTAAATACATGTAACAATAATTTGGTCCATATTATAAAGAAACAAATACATTAACATCGAAACCATGAATAATTTATATATTTACCATATATAGAAACTATTTATACAATACTATGACAATAGATATAAAAATAATATATATAGGAAAAATATATTCATCCTCTTCCAGATTTGTCGATCCTATTTACTATTTATTTTAAATTTAATTAAATTAAACAAAAAACAATATGAATAGTTTAATTGACTTCTACTTTCTTCATTTATTATAAAAACCGAATCGCTTACAGGTTACCATTTGACGTTCTATAAAGTAAATCCACTTAAACAACACTTAGCATCGCATGCCAAACACATTTAAACTGTCAAATTACAATTATAACGTTTAGAGAAGCGGTTCCAATGTCATTTTCACAGCACATTCCCGTCATCTAAGCCGCGCTTATCCAATGAAACTGTGGTGAGCTTGTCATTTTATTAGGCATTAGATTTTGTCGGCAACGCATGCTCATCTCACGGACGCACATTAATTATATGCCACATTTTACATTCGTAGCTAGTCGCCACAAATCGTGGCTTCAACGCAATCAAGACTTAGACGCTTAAACGATGTAATAGTGTTAAAAATAAGGCCGGAAAATAGAAATATAGATGTAGTGACAATACTATTGAGCATAACCAGTTGCCGCCTTTGATTTTGGTGTGAAGCGTGCAATCCGCATCTTGTTCCAAGTGTTGACAATGAATGTCAACACTTCAGCGCTGCTAATTTATTTGCTCATGAAGCGCACGCTCAAATAGAGCAGTCAGTTGGACAATTATAGTACACTCCATTCTAAAATCTCAAATCTCAAATAATTGGAATTTGTGATTTAACGCAATACTTATTTGGAATATTTGTAACTGTTACACATTCCTTAAATAGCTGTTTACCTTTATATTATTCTTTATAGATTATTATTAAAAGAAATTCTTGTTATATGTCTGTACGCATACGTATATATATGTTATATATATGTATATAAGCATATATATGTATGTATATGTATGCAATTATACAGTTACGGGTATGCAAAATAATTTTTTATGGTTTGATAACGTACGGACTTACGTCTAATCACCGTGAAACTACACGTTCGTTTTCAATGAGCAGCCTGGAGGCCTCACCACTTACCTCATTAACCGTTGAATTATTTTATATATAATATATTATATTATATTGTACTTAACTTACAGTAACTGCGTATTGTAATTTTTGCTGGTACTACATAATTAATTAATTAAATTTGCTTAAAAATCAATTATAATTTTAATTCTTACAATGTTCTAATGTGAAGTACTTTCCTCTGCCTCTGCCTTCTCTTAAAGACCCATCAACGAACTCGTAAACTCTTATTAAAGAACCATTTTGTGGTGCTAAAAAGCATGGAAGGGAATGAATGCAACAATTTGTCTTCAACATTTTCACTACATACTTAACTGTGTAATTTATTATTGTTTTCTTTTATTTTGTTCTTCATTGCTTCTTTTCTTTTCTTTTCTTTTCTTTTCTTTGGTATACGATTTTGTTTAATGGCGTTGCACTTGTTGCCTCTTTGCCTATAATTCAAATCATACATTAAAATGTATATGATGTGGTGCAATGAATTATTTTCCTGGTTGCTACTGCAGCCATGAAACCGGCACTTATTTCAGGCAACAAACTTCAGGCTGTTGAGGTAGGTTAATTTTATTGGCCAAATAAGTGGGTATCAAATTTAATTTACTCTACTAACATAGCAAACATAAACAAAGAAGGGAAGCATAAGAGTTTACCATGAAAAGAATGTTATGTGTAAAGATCCAGTGACTGGCGTGTCAAAATAGGGTTAAGAAGCACACCAACAATTACCGAAGTAAAAACCAACAAAGACATCGACAATGGACAATGTAGACGTATTTCAATACAAGACCAAAGTGCATGGAGCGTTAAAGTGAAGCAAAATAAATAAACTTGTTTGATTGATTTCGAGAAAAAAAAATATACGAGTATATATATAAAAAAAAAACACCTATAAAAGAAAAAATGTTGCCAGAGGCAAATATAAAATGGCTTGGGTAAGGTCAAGTTATGCGAAATGGGTTTTAGCTGTTCCTTCAACAAATGAAATCCGCATAAATATTTAAATAGAGCAGTTAAAGTCGAGGTAAATTATTTGGTTTTTTTTTTTACATTTTAAAAGAAAAAATATAATTGTAGCGAGTTAATACTTAACTAAGCAGAAGAAAATGTTCAAAGCTTTAATACTCCCAACACAGATAGTTTTTGTTACTAATCATCTATTTATTATTTACTTACCTATTATATATTTTGAGAAAACTCTACTACTTTGAACTCTTAATTAACCATTTTAAGCATCCACAGATAAATAACTGTATCTACTATCAATTAGGATTGAGATATACTAATGTACAACGTTACGTTTACCGTGAACGGGAATATCTATCCTGCAATCATTTATTTAAAAGTTCAAATAATCTATTAAATAAAAAACACATTAATAACAGAAAACGAACTCAGAATAAACAAGTAAACAATATTATATATGCACAATTAAATTAAGTCGGTGAATATTTGAATAAGTGACTTTCTAGGTAAAAAACTAGATATTAAACTAGGAGAACCCTAATGAAAATTGAAGCATAAAATA